GACCCACAAATTACAAATCCCTCTCTTTCTCTTCCTCACATTCTAAACAACACCGGAGACCAGAAAAGCCGATGCTGAAGTTGATAATGGCGACAATGGAGACAAAGCTGAGAGACGAGATGACACCAGTTTTCTCAGCACCCACGGTGGAGGAGCCAAGCAGCCGCTACAGCCACCGGTCTATAGAGACTCTGGTCGTCGTCTTGGCTGCCATCACCATCATCGCAGTCATCGCAGGCACCGTAGCTCGCCTCTGCGGCGGCAGACACTTGGGTGCCAGTGGAGACAACGACATCGAAGGCTGGGTTGAGAGCAAGTGCAGGACCTGCATTGACGCCGGAGTAGCTCCTTCCGCCGGTCCTCCTCCCCCGCCGGAAGATCAGTCGAAGCCGCCGGCTCAGGAGGTTAAGAAGTGAAATGGGTAAGCAGAGAGCAGAGTAGAGGTGGTGATATATATATATATATATATATATATATATATATATATATATAAGTATATGCTTTTATATATTAAACAAGATTGAAAGTGCTTGATTTGGTGTATGTTATTTTGGTAGTGAACTTATGTGTGGCGTTTGGTCATTGTAATTTGCAATGGGTTTTGAAGTTGAGATGCATTGAGGTAGAAAAAGGAAATTATAAAAATCCAAACACGCCCTATGGTGGCTCAACCCGTAATACGTAATCAAACTAAAAAAATCTGCTTAATAAATTAATTTTATTTTTATTTAATTAATATATTTTAATTATTTAACACATAAAAAATTTATTTTAAACTAAAATATTATTTCTATCAACATGTTCGTCTTATTATTTGTCATCAACTTTTTAATCCATACTAATTTATGGTAATTAAGACTTAATTTTATAATAATTAATAATTAAATACAAAGTAACGATAATAAAATATCACAAAAAATAATATTTTAAATAAATTAAATATTTATTTTATTATTATTTTTTTAAATTAATTTATTTTTATAAATAAATAAATAAATAAAATACATAGTCAAACACATGTGGGCATTGTCCATGATTTCTGCATAAACATAATCATGCACATTGCTCTATGCTTACTTTTCTTTGGTTATCAAAGTAATAAAAAAAGTTTTATTCAATTTTTAATATATTATGACTATTTTAATTAAATTTAATTTAATTTAATAATACGTAAAATAAATTTTATATATAAAAATATAGTAAATTTAACTAAATTTAATTATTATATTTCAAACAACATTAATAAATTAAATTATTAATTTTATTAAATCAAATATTATAAACTGACTATTATTAAGTAATAAATTTTATATTAATTTATAATTTTCATTTATATATAAGAATTTTAATTCTTATATAATTATATTATTAGTGTGCAAGTAATGAGTTTAGGGTGTGTGTTATTTTAAATTATGAATAATATATATGTATATATATATATATTGATAAATAAAAGTAATTATTACATAAACCAATAAACATCTGTAAATATAATTGATTTTGGAAAAGAAAAAGCACCAACCAATACGACAATCATTGCTTTTCCAAAAGCTCTGCCTTTAGTAAACTTTTGTTTTTTTTCGTTCTCAAAGCTTTTGAAAACTTACCGTTGCCAACTACCTTTTACATAGACTAAGAGATTAATATATGAATATAAACTCCCATTTCCCAAAACAAAAATTTATAAGTTCATGTGAAGTTTTTAACTTTTGTTATAACTATTTAAGTTAAACATAATTTTGTTTTACTTATAAACGTAATAAATTCGTTGAAATTAAGTATAGTTTAATTATTATAATCTCACTAATATATTGATTAAATAAGTATTGATTTTAGTTTGCTTATTTAACTTATAATTAATTTCCGTATTATACAAAAAAAAAAAATTTAACTCATTTCTAAATTAATCTTAAAATATGAATGGATTCAAATTATGGGTTATTAATAAAAAGTTGTGATGTAGTTGTTAAAATAGTTGTGTTATATTTAAAGTTAAGTGAATTAATAAATAGTTGTCTTAATAGATATCATGAGAGATGGTGGACGGACTAGATACATAAAGAACCCTACCGTGAACGTTACCTCATAGCGGACGAGATATTGATAGATGATATTTTTTACGTTCATACCGGACGGAGTATGGGGACGGTCTGATTCACCCTCATACCAGACGGGGTATCGAGGGATAGTATTTTTGGCACTCGTACCGAACGAGATATGAGAACGGCCGGTTAGTTGATAAAGTTTAGATATCGGTTCACACGTAGTAGGAAATCTTTATGAACCCCTAGGGATACCAGTAAGCAAATAAAAAGGAAAAATTATTGTTCTTACTCACTTGAATACAAGATTATGATATTGTTTGAGTTATTGTCTCTATAGGTCGGTTTTGTAAATCTCGCAACGATAAGTATGCAATAAATGGTTTTATTTATGATAAATGAACTTATTTAAATTAAAAATTCTATTGGTTGTTTTTATAATTTTTACCAACCTTCAGTTTCTGTATCGGTGAGTAGTGTGATATTCTTATTAGACTAGTATAACTCACATTTTTATTAATTATTTCAGATAAATAGGACCAATATTCAGATTCCGATCAACAAAAATATTGGTGAATATTCACCATCCGGGCTCCCCTTCAAAAAACTAGT